CCCCCCCCGCCCCCCAGAAGTTTGTAGCTGACACTTTGAAACAGCCTGTTAGCTTTCTTTTATGTCTCCTGTACAAGGCACATATTTGTTGTCTGGGCCTTACTGACCTCATTATTTCATACAGCCTGATTAACCAGTGAGTTCATTACAACAGTTGAGTAAATAAGTCGGTGTGGTGCTCAGATCTCACGGCACTTACTTCTCCTTGGCCCGCCTCTTCTCCTCCAGGTGCCGGTGAGCCTCCAGACGAGATTCGGGGGTGAAGCTGCACGGTGTGTGCCAGAACTCGTGCTCCCTTTGCTCCTCCTCCGGGTTCTTTGGGTTCTCGTTCAACTCCTGGTTCTCCTTATTCTTCTCTGACTCTGGACTGCTGAAACCAGAAGGTCTTAGGTCATCACTGAGTTTGTAAAGACAGTTTAAAGACTCTTCGCCTGAACTCATCAGGGTGACCTGTAAGTGTTGCTATGAATCACGTGAAGATTCCATAAGAGTAATTTTGCTGTGGCTGCACACTGACAGTAAAGGTCCTGGATCTTGACTCCTTATAGTTTTAGAAAAAATTTAAGATGTTATCATCACTTATTGTTACTTTTCACGCCCTCTATCGCAGTTAGCAACACCTCTGACCGCCTAGAGCGCCTCTACATACGTGACATCCTCGTCAGAGGTCTTTAGTCCGCCTCAGGGACCAGGAAACTAAAGGAGACACAGTGTTTGCAGTCTGAGCCTCAAAAATCAGCAACAGCTTCCTTGAAATCACGTTTTCTGGATTTCACTTTCACATATTTTACTTCCAAAACAAATCTCTAAGTGTAAAGCAGATATGAGAGTGACTCATCATAAGCCAAATCTAGTCCACACAGCAAACATATTTGTCCCTTTTTTCCCTCTTCCTCCTGATTTTAGCAGTTTCACTTACTTGAATATTCTGCTGTTTGAGAGCAGATTTGTTCAACATACTCATGCGTATTAACAAGGACGTTAATAAAAAGTGAAATCTTGTCTCACTGCAGTTTGGAATGGCAGCATCTCAGAAACTTTCTGTACGAGATAACGATTTATCTTCTCACTCACGCTGTGTTGTTGATGTCGGTGTACCAGCGGCCATCAAAGCCTGGTTTCCTCTCCTTCTTTTCCTCCTCAACTCCTGCTTCCTTCCTCCTCGCCTCCTCTTTCTCCTCAGCTCTCCTCCTCAGGTATTCCTGCTCCTGCTCAGCGACGCGCCTCCTCGCCTCCTCCAGACCCTGCGAGGCTCGGATCCGTTCTGACCGGCTGATTTCTGTCCCGTCCAGACTCTGAGGACACAGAGCGAGAGCTGGGACTCAAACTCTGAACCTCCATCAGGGTTTAAGCTCACAGCCTGACGACCAAACTGCTTTCAGTGGTCTTTAAACGACTGTCACACATTTTTCTCCTGGAGCTTCACTGGCTGTTGCTTTCACTGAAGTGTTCTCAGCTCTGACCTTTTAACATCCGACTAACTGAATCCCTGCAGACACTTTTTCATCAAATACTTTGTCATCAGAATCTTCCAGACGGAGCTCAGCTGCCTCAATCATAAGTAAAAAATAAGTAAACCCAAACAAATAACCGCAGCCTCCACCTCTCTGGATGTAGATGAGGATCCACCTCAGACGTTACCTTGAGCTGAGGCAGTGCAGCCACCACAAACTGCCTGTAGCCCTCGAACTGCGTGCAGGGATTCCCCACCAGAAACAGCTCTCGGAGGTGGATGTTGTGTCTCAGGGACTCCACGCTGCTCAGGCGGCCCACGAAGTTCACCGTCAGGTCCAGTTTCTGCAGGCTCTCACAGCCTGATGAGCGGGAAGTGGAAACAGAAAGGCGACATGTTTACATGTTTACAGGCAGAAAAACAAGCGCTGAATTAAAGCCCGTACATACGCTATGCACTGACCTTCAAGGTTTTCAATGACTTCAATGTTGTTCAAGGCCAGATTCAAGTACTCCAGCTTCTTCAGTCGGCCAACATTTTCTAAACAAACAAAAACACAAAATCACAAAGTTCCTGTAGAGGCAGCTGATGACTTTTGAGAACAAAAGCATCTGTGTGAATGTTTTCCTTGGTAAGAGGATGTGACAACACATCTAACATCTGACTGATGTCAGCTAAACTCAGCCCAAGTAGTAGTGGCCCAAACATAAATACCACAGCTGTTCTCAAGACCTCACTTTCATAATAACTGGTGATATTTCAGTAAATAGACCAAGCCAACACTAAAATGCAGTCATTTCTTTCTTCAAAGGGTTCTACCCACACTGAGGCCAGTCTCACCGATCCTGGGGATGAGGTTGTTCTGCAGGTAGAGGATCCTCAGCTCCTTGCACCACCTGTCGAGGTGTTCGATCCTCTCGATGTCCTGCTGATGCAGAGAAACTTCCTCCAGTGAGAAGATCTCACACTCATTGTGCTCGGCGCGCCGGCGGATCAAATCCTCTGTGACTGAAACAGATTTTCCTTTGAACTTCACCTGAACCCATTTCTAATAAAAACGTCTTCTCAGCAGGTCAGCAGGAGTTGGGGAGAATCAATGCTGCAGCCTGGTTTAACCTGCTTCACTCAATCTCTAATCACAAATTATTCAATCAATACTAATTTATAGTAGATGCTAATTAGAAAAATAAAACTAAATAGTCATGTGTGTTGTTAAACATGGTTTTAAGTCGGTTAAAAACAGGATCCTGATGACCTGAAATAGTCAGTTTTTTTTAATAATTAGGATGTCTTTACTTTCATGGCCAAAAAAGTGTTCAAAGCTTAAATGTACAAAAACAGAATTCTGTTTTCATAAATTCAAGTTGAGTTAAAGCGTGCCTGTTAAGTCACGTGACTTAAAGTACTTTTTAAAACACGAAAACTCAGAGCAATCCTGTCCCACATAAATAAACTTCTTATTTTTAGCACCATAAAATAACACTAGATTTAATTTAGCAATGTAGCCAAAGTAAAGAGGAGTTTGGGGCTTTTCATATAAAATCTGGAAAGAAAAATCCACTGATTTTTGTATAATAAATTTATTCAAAGATTTAACTTCGAGTTATGGATATTTAACGATTGACAGGCCCTTAGAGTACATAAGAGTGGGCTGAAATTTGGGCCTTTTTCATTTAAAAAAAAAATCTAAATTTTTTTTAGATTCATCAGAAACTTTCAGGGTTAAAAAAACACATTTAAGCTGCAACCAAATCAACTTTAAACCCAGTATTACAATCTTGATACCTGCTCTAGTTCCCTGTAAACATACACCTGTGATGTTTGAGAAACCCAGAACATAATTAAAAAACTCACTTTCATTCTGAAATATATTTCTAGTATCCTTTAAGTGTCTTCAAACTATCACGGTATACAAATACTCGAACTGCTGACAGACATATGAATATATATTTTGAATCATTCAGAGAACTGAACTGTTTTTACTAACACAGACTAACACTGGAAATACTAAATACGTTTTCTGACAACATGCTAACTTGAATTTCACCGCCATGACCGTCCCGTGAGTTCATACCGGGCACAAACCGGTTCAAAGCGGGTTTAAAACAACAAAAGTTCACGGACAGGCCACAAAATCGGTTATACTGTCAGTTATGAACATTGAAACAACAAATGGTGTATTTTTGCCTCTATTTCTTTCACTTACTGTAAACCATCGTCCTATCTGTGGCCAACCGTTGCCATGGAAACCAAACAGCAGCTGCTGCGTTCGAGTGCTGTGGTAAAATGCACCACTCCAAACGGACTACAAATGAAGTTACATTGTTGACGGTGCTTTTTGAAATTGCCCTATGCTGACTTTAAGACTGTCACGACAGAGGCGCGGATATTCACGAATAGGAATGCTGAGATCTTTTCGGATGTGTGCTGCTGTTTAACTTTGAAGTGTGGTTACTTTAATTATCCGAAGAGGCATTTTGCTAGGCTCTTCGACTGTAACTAAAAAAAAAACCGTGTTGTTAATTACTTACTTGGGTAAAGTAAGGCTGTGATGATTTACAGCACTATGTTCAACTTCAGTTGATATCTAACCGTAGTACAAAGACATATGTATATTGTTAAAACTGGAACAGTTAAAATATTTAAAGACACAAATATACATTAAGTATATTTAAATAAAAAGATTATCTAAAAATACGAAAAGGAATCCAACAATTGTATCAAAGGTAATATATTTAAGCGGAAATTGGTATTTATAATGTATACTTGAACCTAGCGAGGCTAGATCTTGATCTTTTATTTTGAAAGTTCTGGCGGAAGTTGCTAAAGAGACTACGGATCCACTCCAAACAAAAACGGTCGGTGCTCCGCAGCATCCATCCTATTTTTCACCGGGTTTGAAAAAACCCCAAAACCCTTTCTTAGCGTGAAAACGGGCGGGCCGTCGCTCCTCTGCTGAGTCCACAGTGTTTGTTAATGTCGATTTAATTCGCGGTTCGGCGGCTGGTGTCGTTTCTCGGTGGCTGAACATGACGAGCTATACGGGGTTTCACTCTCAGCTGACGTCCATCATGGAGGCGCTGACCAAAGCAGCGGTGGCGGAGATCTGCGAGCTGGTGGACGACAGCTACGCGGTGCTGCGGCTGGAGATCACCCGCAGTCACAAGGAGAACGAGGCGCTGCGGAGGAAACTGGAGCTCATTGAGTCCATCATCGCCCGGGGTCACCGGGGCAGCGCCGCCGTGCTGGAGGAGGAGGAGGAGGGCTGCGAGAGGCTGCTGGATTTCACCCCGGGTGAGTTTTCAGGCTTTCGGTCATCTGCAGGTCAGTGACCCCGGTGATGTTTTGAGCGCGAGACTTCCGTTGTTTAGGCTCACAGCGCGTTTCAGAGCGACGTGAACCAAGCTCCATTGAAAAACAGTTTAAAAGGCGTTTTTTTTCACTGCCCTGTCGAAGATTCAGACACTTTTGTCTCCGCATGATATTTTCCAATAGTCATGTATGAATTCGGCTTATGAATCAAAGTACGGACTGCACTCAGTGTACACTTTATTCGGGTGTTTTCACTGTAAACCAAGCACTGGTAATGCGTTTACCAGTCCCACTTTGAATGAACCAAACTTTCCAGCTGCTTCCATCAGCCGAAATAAAGAGATGGTATAAAGACGCAGAAAATACGAGTCATAACTAGAAAAACAGAAAAGATCTTGAGATTTAAAGGTGGATTTCATTAAACGACTTTATTTTTAACACTACCAAAATGACTGACTTTGATATTTGGGGGGCTAAGGTGGGAGTTGGCAGCTGCTGTTTGACGATTCAACCAGCAGCTGACCAGTTATAAACCCATTATAAACCCAGAATAAAACCAGTTAAACCTAGTATGAAACCTGTATAAACAGTTATAAAGCCTTATAAAACCAATTAGACCAGTATAGAACCAGTTATAAACCAGTAAAAAAGATGTTATAAAAACAGTGTGAAATATGTTTGTTCACTTTTTTACTGTATTTTTTTCAGTTATTGACCTCTTTTATTTCATCTTTTATTTAATTGAGCTTCTTTTTGTTATTATTTTGTCATATTTGTGATTTATTGATCTTTTCCACTGTTGTTTAACATTTTAGCTGCTTTGTTAGAAGAAGTTTCCAGCTCCTGGGATAAATAAAGAATATTTCATCATATTAAATAAATAACTACAGAGCCGCTGTCTCATTCAAATCCCTTAAAAAGATTAATTAAGTTTAAGTTCTGTGCATGTGCAATATTTGGTCTGAAAGATGCAGCATTCAATCACAGTCATGTGACTTTAAAACCTTTAAAGTTTTAAATTCCTCACAGTTTTAAAATCCGCACAAAACGGAGACAGGAGTGCATCCTGTGTTTTGTGTTTCTCGGTCTCCTGACTCACTTAAAGACCTTTTTTTGTGTTTGTGGCATTTTTTTAAATTCTCTCAGATCATGCCTCGCCCGCTGGAGTCAGCGCCAAACAGCCGAAGGCGTCAAACCTCAGACGATGTGGACGTGTCGCGGTGCTGGAGGTGACAGCGGAGGCGAGTCCTGCAAACGCAGAGGTGAGATTTCCCACCACATCAGCTCTGAGCAGACCCGATCACAGTCAAATAACGATGTGATGTTAATGTGCAACACGAGGAGGGGCTTCCTTTTTAATTTTCAGAAACGTTTTTGCCTCGTAGTGTCGTTTTTTAATCAAATTAGAATTAAAATCTTAGCAGCAAGCTCAGTGAAGCTTTCTGTTTCCCTCTGAATGATTTGAAAACACACGGCTGAACTAAATGACGTCAGCTCCACGTTTGATCAGCTGCACTAAAGTTTTCCTCTAAAATAAATAATCCAAAAAATAATGAAAAGGTCTAAAGTGTAATAAAGTTTGCACAGATTTTGATAAAAAGATGAAAATGGAATGAGTTTGGATATTTAGAGAAAAACTTTTTTTCATGAATGTGAAAAGTCGCTAAAAAGCTTTCATCGTAATCAGGCCACACTTAGCAGGTCTCCCTGAATCAGAGGAAGCAGACCGAGGACGAGGAAACAACGTCTCCCTGAGACATCAAAGACAAAACAGCAGGAAGAACATCTGCGGACAGAAGGCCGGTTTTCTGCACAGCGCTGACTTTTTTCCTCTAAACAGCAGAAGATGTGTCACTGTCACAAACATTTACTACAGCTCTGCTTTTTCTAACTGTCAGGACGGTTCGACAGCAGCTGCAGAGGAGACAAACGAACAGAATGTTGTTCTGATAAAAGAGGAAACACCAAAAGAGGAAGCTGAATCTGACCTCGCTACAACAGATGAGCTGCTTATCAGTGAGGACGGTGAGCAAGCCAGCAAAATGTATTTAATTCCAGGTGGAGGCACAGAGACACTGTGTGGATGTTAAGTGTGTCTATTGATTTAGTTTAATTGCATTATTATTTAAGAGCAACAATCACAGAGCTCCTTCTTTAAAAATGCTAAAACTCACGTGTTAAATCCTTACAGTAAAAAAAAATAAATCAATAAGTGAATATTTTAAACTAGCAGCAAAGTTCCACCAAATAAAAGCAGCAGAAACAAAATCAGATCAAACCAACTGCAGTCCAGTCAATTTAAACTTTCAAAATAAGAGCGAGGGGACAGGCCAGCAGTAAATGGATGGGATTTTTTTCCTCTGATGGATGAAAAATAAAATTGTAATTATTTTTTCTTTTATTTTTCAAGACTTCGTTTATGTATTTATTTTACCTCAAGGATAAAATATACTTTATTTATCCTAAAGTTGGGGAATTCCTGTTTTACAGCTGAAAAAAATTAAACACAAGTAGATTAAATAAATTCTAAATTTAAAAATGATCAGAAAATGAAATAAATTAAATAATTAGAAATGTAAATATGCGTATTAAGTAACAGCCACAGACTGTATAGAACACGGGTCAGCAACCTTTAACACCCAAAGAGCCATTTGGACCCGATTTCCACCCAAACGGAAACTCTGGGAGCCGCAAATACTTTGTGACATCTAAAATGAAGATAACACTGTATATACTGTTTTTTACCTTTGTGCTTTGTGTGAACAACTAAGGTGTGCTGCTTATGAAATCCATGAAGTGCTACAGAGAAAATTACATGTTATTTATGTAATTAATACATTTTGAACTCTTAAAGAAATATAACAAAAGGAAAGCTGAACTAAAATGATCCAGCAAACAAAGACTGTTGTGAGCCGCTATCCTCATACCTTGGCCTGACTTTTAAAAAATAATTGGAAAAAAAGTAAAATAGATATTTGCAAAATTCTGCCTAAATATGTATTTTACCTGGTTAATGTGTGCGGCGGGGCGTGGTCTGCAGCGCCGCTGCAGGGGAGGCGGACGCACCTGAGCGGCACCCGCAATCACGCCTCGCCGCCTTAACGTCTCTGCTGTTGTGTTGGTGTGTGTCGGGCTGTGAGCTGCAAAGCTGCAGCCGTCTGTGTGCGTACAGCAACCGTGTGTGTAAAGTGGTCAATAAAGAGATGCTGAAAAGCCTGTTCATGCAAACATCGTCGGGTCTGCCGTGATATGTTTACAATGGGACTTCTGCTCCTGAACCTCTGCGCACAGCGTCTGCAGATCAGGGCTGTACGAAGTCACTTTCATCTTTACAGGACTGTAAGCTGTCGTCTGTGAGGCGTAAGCGGTGTTTGTTTGTAACATAGTTCACGGTGGAGCTGCTCACATAATGTGGATCCAAGATCCATAATTGGCCTGCCTGGGGTTGAAAGTCTCGATAAATGCACGGCGTTTCGGTGGGTACACCGGCTTCCGCGAGTGTGACGCTTATTTTGAGCGATGAAAAAATAATAGAATATAATTTTATTTTTATATTTCAAGATCACAATAATCTTCCAATTTAGAACTACAAGTTAACAAAGAACTAACATAAATAAAACACACTTCAGCTAAATACTTCTAATTTATTTTCCCAAACCACGCGCAGCCGCACTGTAAGGACTAAAGAGCCGCAGGTTGCCGAGCCCTGGTATAGAACATAAAAAATAAGGTCAGTATGGAAGCGCCTTAAACCTGCGTTCTGTCTGAAGGCCACCAGGTGGCGATAGATGTGGTTGCAACAAGATTTCTGGTGCTGTTGAAGAAAACAACTCTGACCTCTGTAAGCATCTTGCAGCTGAGTTTATGTGCTCTCTCATTTTGGCTCATTCTGAATTAAAAAAAAAAAAGTTTTAAAAATCTTGGTCATGTAAATGATCTGTAACCTGTCAGTCACAAGTTATTAGCCAATGAGCATGATTCCACCGTCAGACCCGCCCCTCCTCATCACCTCTTGTTTTTTTGCAGTCAAGCTGAAGCCCTCAGGCTTTAAACTATCTGTGGTAATAATACATGAGAAAGTATAATTTCAAAATAAAAGCATGTGGTAGAGCACGTGCAGGAAAAACAGCTGTTTTTGTTTCTGACACATTAAAAAACAAAATCACGATAAAAGAGGAAGAAGAGATTCCTGACCTGCTCCGTTTGAACTTCAGTTTTCCTCTGTGTGTCTGCAGGGACCGAGGTGCCGACGTCAGAGACGGAGGACAGTGAGCAGGGCGCGTCTCGGTTGAGGATCTCAAACACAACCTGCGCCGACCTTCGGCCGTGGGACCAGAATAATAACGCGGTCTCAGAGCAACTCGCGCATCACAAGTCCCGCAGCACGCCCGGTTCCCCGCGGCCCGCAGGGGGCGTCGAAAGCTGCTCCTCGGACATCGTGTTTGACTTGGCGTCCGAGTTGGAAGACCGCGTTGTGTCTGTGGCTCACAGCAGGAAGTCGTTCCTGCTTGAGTCAGGAGGAAGTCCGGCCTCGCTGCCCGGGACCTCGGAGCTGAAGCGTGGCGTCTCCCTGATTAGTTCACTGCCCTTTGACTCAGAGCTGGATCTGTGCTCATCATGGACCAATCAGGGCCTGCCGAGCATGGTGCCCGTCCCTCACCGGCCGTACCTGAAACCGGACCAGCGTCCCACGCTCATGGACAAACCGTCTGACTTAAATGCCGGCGGTTTCCCTTTGGCGCTGGCGCTTGGTGGCTCCAGGCTGGACGCTCTAGAGCTCAACCGCTACAGCAGGGACCGCCGCTTCGTCTGCAGCTACTGCGGCAAGTGCTTCACGTCCTCCCGGAGTCTGGAGACGCACGTGCGCGTCCACACCGGTGAGCGGCCGTACAGCTGCGCTCAGTGCGGGAAGCGCTTCACACAGTCGGGTCACCTGAAGACGCACCAGAGCGTGCACACCGGGGAGCGGCCGTTCGCCTGCGAGCACTGCGGGAAGAGATTCGCCGGGAAGCAGAACCTGAGGATCCACCAGCAGAAGCACCATCAAGGCAAGCAGGTGGTCGCGGCCTTTTAACCTGGTTACCAGAGAACTCGCTGCTGTTACTCAGTTCTAAGACATTTGATTAGAAACTGATTTTATATCCACTGATCAGCCAAAACATTAAACACTCCTAACAGGCTTCCCTGAATAAACAACATCGTGTGCGGTCGGATTACAGTGGATGTTCAGCTCGCAGCACATTTCTAGAAACGAGAATAATTGTTGCCATCTGACCAGCCTGAAGGTGGAGGAACAACATGGGAGGAGCCAAGCAAAAGAGTAAAAACAAAGGAAACACTGGAGAAACCCTGGAACTGTTCACTGTGGATCAGTCACCGTCAAAATCTAACTTATCCACTTCATACCTGCTTCTTCACTCTGTCATCGTCCACTTCTGTCTGCAAACTCTTCTTAAAGTTCCACAAAACCAACAAAACACTGAGGACCTCCACCCGCTGCACCTGTGGCAGCACGAGCTGGTTCTAATGTCGTGGCTGCTCGGTGAACAGACCTGATCAGTAGCTCTGACTGCTGTTGTCTTTCAGGCCATACCTGTTTGTAACCATCTGCCTCTGTATTAAATGATCCTTCATTTCTTACAAACAAACACGGCCCTGTTTCCAGGTTCCCTTTGATTGTTTTCAAGCTCAAAAACTGAAGAAACCGGCGTTTGGATGGAGCATGTGAATATTCTTTGTTTGGCGTATATCTGGAAATAAAAGTGTGCGCGCTCACATTGATCATTTTCTTTGCTTTGCTCGTGTTTCAGGTGCAAAATCTGAGGGAAGCAAGAAAATTCATATTTTGGACGTGATGGTCATCTGTTAACGACTGTGTTTTAAGGTGGACATAAAAAAGATCCATCAGAGAAAGAACCACAAAAATACAGTTGCTGTTTAGTTCAGTCGATCGATTAGGAATTCTCAGTCTGATCTCATAACTTTATTATACATTATAAACTTATATTGTATAATAATGTGTTAAAATTAGAAAATAATTCAATTTTCAAGTGCTTTGAGGGGTCAGTGAGACTAGAAAAACGTATTATTTCCAGTTATAAAAATATGTATAAAGTATAAATTATAAGAAAATTAAAAGTCAATGTGAGCACAGAAAAGAAGTTCAATTATAAGATGTCAAAATTATGCAAAAAGCATCTGAAATGTGAGAAAAACTTTAAATTCTAGATTCTGAGAACATTAAATATTAGAGAAAAATGTCAAAATTATGACAAGAAAAAAGTTCAGTTTAACATAAAAAACTAAAAACTACAAAGTTGAAATTTTAAGACATTATTTGTCTTAAAATGTCTAAATTATGAAACTTTGTAAAAGATTGTTTTGAAATTGAGAATAAAATAAAGATGATAAAATAATGAGAAAATTCTTTTTTTAAAAAGTGAAAACATAAAAATTCTGTTTTTCAAAATAAGATGTGAGTATTACGTAAAAGCATGATGAGATTAAAAAGTAAATCAAAAGATAGTTTAAAAAATATCATGACATATTTACATTAGATGAAAATGATGAGATGTTAAAAGTGAAGAATTTCACCATTAAAAACGATAAAACCAAAATGAAGCTGAGAAGTGAAACAGTAAATAATGTTAAGAATATTACAAACATTTAATAAAAACATTAAAAAGTCAAAATTGAGATAAATGTAAGTAAAAGGTCAAATAAATCATTTCATTGTGATTTAATTTTGTCTTCATTACTTTAGGAAAACTAAACGATCCTTGATTTACCTGCAGGTTAACACACCTGGAGTTCTGCTTTCTGAGGCGACACCTGGCAGCCAATCAGAGGACAGCGTTTCCTCAGGCAGCGTCTTCTCTTTGTTGTGTGTTTGGAGTCTGAACCGTGCTCTCCGTTCAAACTGACAGCTCCACCGCTCAGCCTGCAGTTTCTAATAAAAACAACCAGAATCTGTCTTTAAATTATTCACACAGTGGCGCACACACACGCCTCAAAGCAGTTCAGCAAAAATATCATTAGTTTTCAAAATGCTTCAAGGATCTGAACAGCAAACAGAATGTCAGTTTGTTTATGTTTACAGTCCTGTTCTATTTATATTGCATTTACTTGAATCTTAATTGGCTTCTATTCTTTCTTATATTTACACAAGTGAAAAATAACAAAATGATAAACAATATAAATACGTCTGTAGGTTCTCAGCCACTGAGGATAGGGTCGACCCAAATACACTCGGAGTCCTGAGCTGTTGAGGTCACCTGAGGAAATGCTTGTCGTGTCCTGAGAGCCGATGTCCTAAGCGACCAATCCCGTTCAGTGATGATGGATCACAGTGGACACTTGACCTCCTTCACTCCTCTCTCAAAGTGCAAAATGTGAACGCTGGCTTCCTCCTTTAAATGCAGCTGTACAGCTGAATCATCAACCTGCGCTCACATCTTGCCTCAGGTGACCTCAGCATGATGGTAGGGTGGACGCTCAACAGGTCACCCTCAGGTAAACCTTGAAGGGCAGGGAACCGACGAGGGGTTAAACACCCGGGAAACACAGCCAGTTATCTTAGAACTGAAGAGGCCTCTTGGATGAAAAGCAGAGTCTTCATGAACATGTCTAAAGACTAAAATATTAATACAAAAGCACAACAAACTAAGGTAATTGAATAAAGTATAAGAAAGAAAGGAATGGTACAATAAATGAAAGATTATTAAAATCCAGCCTCTTCTATTAGATCTTATAGTTTGAGTTCATACATCTTCCAGTTTTACTTTGAATCTTTATATTTATAGTTAGTTATTCTATTTTTATGAGTTTGTGTCAGTGTCATTTTGCATTTTTGTTATTTCAAAAGAATTTTATCTATTTTTTTTAATGTTTTGATGATGATTTTGTCCAATTTACTATCTGATTTTTTAAAAAAGTCTATTATATATTTTCTTTTCCCTACCGACTTAGCTTTACATTATTACAATTACATTGTTATTATTATTACAAATAATGGTTTTATTATTTTATTTAATCTGCACTTTTCATTGTTACCATTATAGACAGTTTTTTCTTATTTATTTAAACCTTTTCACTTGTACTATTTTAACAGCCTGAAAACGCACTTTTTTCCTATTTTTACATTAAACTCTTAGCGCTGTTTAATTACGCATGCTCTGTTCTGTTTTCTTGCCGTTAGGAGTCGCTCACTGACGGTGTTCTTAATGTAGTTCTGTGGATAACAACAGGCTCTTATTCTGAAGGCAGCGGTGTTGTTCCGGAAGTGAAGTGTTGCAGGAACCGTTTTCTCTTTTTTCTCTTGCCGACGGTTGAAAGTCCAAACAGGTTCCGCTCGCGGCACCATTGCGCCCACCTTGCGGCTCCGTGTGGTCCGGTTCGGGTTCGGATTCCGTTGGTTCGTCGGGATGTCCGGTTTAAGCAGCAAAGCTCTCCACGAGCAGCTCTCCGTCATCATGGCCGCGCTGACCAAAGCGGCGGTGGCGGAGATCTGCGAGGTGGTGGATGAAGGCTATGCGGTGCTGCAACTGGAGATCACCCGGAGCCACAAGGAGAACGAGGACCTGAAGAAGAAGCTACACCTCATCGAGTCAATCGTGGTCCGGGGGAGCAGCGGGGGAGGAGGAGGAGGAGGGGAGGCTGCGGATGCGGAGGGACCGGAGGTCTCACCGGCGGCGGAGGCTACGCAGCAGTCGGGAACAACGCAGCAGCAGCGGGAAGGTGACGGACGAGGAGCCGCGGCTGGAGCGGTGCGGGAGGAGGTGAGCACTCCGCCGGTCTGAATCAACCTGAAGCCCGGGAACAGGCCGACATCAGAGAGCAACAATAACAATGATAACAACCGCAGGTTGGAGCCGGAAGTGTAATACAGTCAGCTCACAAAACGGAATAAATAACATTTTGTCTGAATGACATAATTACCTAAGAAATGTCCCGGAAACTTTCTAATAGAAACACGTGTATGTAATCACAAATATATGTATTTGTTATAAACAATAATGACTAATAAAATGAACTGAATCAATCTGCAATCAGTATTCAAAACAATTCAGATGATCGTTTAATTTATTGATATTGTGTGCCAATGCTTAAATATTTAACTCAGTTTTATCTAATCTGACAATAAATGGAAGATATTTACAACGTGTGGCCTTTTTAAATCGCCCAAAATCTGAAAATTCTCTGAAATGAGCCTAATTTATCAAATCTGATAGTTATTAATTACTGCAGTAATAATCAGAAGAGTTTTGGAAATAATTTAAAGTTAAAACTAGTTTAAAAGTTTTCATTTATTTCACTTGAATTAAAACCAAAATGTATAAACCTCGAGTTCATCCTTACAGTTAATCAGTACTTAAAAAGAATCGTTTTCCTCAGATTTAATTTCACTTTTACAAACAGGTTTATGCCATCAAATTTTCTTTTCCAAACAAAAGGAGAAAATGGTCTTATCTCTGCACATGCTCAGTGCAGCCTGATGTGTTTGTTTTGTCATCAGGCCTGAAGCTGGTTTTGTTTTAGAAACCTGAGGGCAGTTTGAGAGAGAGCATGATCGTTAACTGAAGATTTGAGATACTGAAGTTTAAATTAATTTCAATGATAAGTCAGCCAATCAGGAGTCCAGAAACATTTATTCTTCTTTAGTTTGTGTTTCTATAAAAACAATATTTTAATCGTCTCCTTTTAACGTTGTTTTTTGTGTTCTGTGGCGTCTGCAGCTTCCAGAAGTGGTGCTGATTAAAGATGAGGACTCGGACAGCAACGACGTCTTTGAGGAAGGTGAGAAAACGACCTGCAGCAAATCTTTTGTGTGTTTATTAACAATGATTAAGGTTGTGTTCATGCTCCAGAACGATTTAAAACAGAGAGAAAAAAACAGAAACGTCTCTGTAAAATAACTTTCTGCAGAGCTATTTACACCCAAACTTCAAAATTGAATTCCAAAGTAATAAAAAATCTGCTGCACTCGACTCTGAACGCACCACAGGGAACAAACAATCATTAGTAAAGAAACACATCAATAAATTACCAACCATCTCTATTCTAAATAAAAGCTGAGTGTAGTCGTCATGGCTACGGGTTTCTATAATGCTCTATTAGGAAAAAAAGAATTAAGGAGTGACATGTGGTCACTTCACTTCTTTCTTTCCTTTCATTTTCCTGTGTCTCCTTTAAAATGTACGACATGTATCGGTTTACACCATGCACTGCTCTGATATCAGTGTTAGATTAATGAGCTGGATGTGGCACTGTGAGAACGAGGATGGGAGTCTTTCTTTGTAAGTTAAGGCATGAGTGATTTCTTAACTTTCTAAAAATAAAAATGTCATTCTCAGGGAGAAAAATCATTAAATTAGAAAAATAAATAATACTTACAAAAAAATGAAAAACGGCACATCATCAACAACATCAAGAATACTCCGGGCTCATCATCCACAGCTGATATTCATCGAATTTGTCCTGATGAGATTGTTCTCATTCCCAACGTGTAGCATACCGACAATTTGTCCCGAGGTATCACAGGAGCGTTCCTGTGATACGTGTCGGATTGTGGATCCAATCCAACAGAATGAAGCTCCCGGTGGTAACACACGTTCCAGCCGTGTATTCCAGCCCTAAACCTAACCACAACCTTAATCTTGTTAGATGGTTTTTTCTAAAGTGATTCATGATGAGAAAGTTAAAAAAAAGTGTACATGTGTAGATTCATTCCAAACGGTTCTCATGTTTCCGAAAGCGTAACATATTGTTGTATGTTAGGTTTTGGGATGAGAACGTGTTGTTCTGATGCTCAACATTTCACAGCATTGAGTCTTATCATGAAAACTGTAATGATTCTTTCTTTCTTTTATGTAATTTCTTAGGTACTAAGTTAACAGCTGATGGGGTGGCGCCTGCAGCCAGAGAGGGCATCACATCGACTCCCATCAGCCGGCGCACAAAGCGGCGCTGGCGTGAAAGCTTGGAGTCCGAGAATAGGTCATCGTCTGAGCAGCTGGCACAGAAAACATCCGACCTGACAGCAGGGACGCAGAAGACCGTGTCCGTCTACACTCTGGACTCTCCCGATCGTGAGCCGGGGGGTTCCGAGCAGCTTGACGACGAGGTCGAGATGGAACCTGGCGAATCTGCCGGGTCGTACTCGTCACAGATGGACCCCGGCATTCATCTGGTTCAGGAGTGCTCACTGGTTCCTTCGAACGCCAACAGGCCGGTTTATTTTAGCAGCAGCGCTCTGATCGAGTCTCCGTCAAACCAAGCAGACCTCGATCTGACCGTCGACCCAGGGTGGCCCAAACAGTCAAAGGGTCAAATTACTTTTACTGCGTTTCACCAAGACGGAAACACAGATGGCGACGCCTTTGGACTGAAGGTGCTCAGCGTCTCCGGCTCGACCCCCACAGACTGCCAGCTGTCCGAAGCCAGCAGCTCTGCCTTCGAGTACGAAGACGGCGGCGATGTCATGAACTTTGCCCTATACAGGGACCAGGCAGGGCGGCCGCAGCTCTGCAACGAGCAGCCGAGCGCAGGAGGCAGAGGGAAACGTTTCGCGTGCTCCCTCTGCAACAAGACGTACGCCACGTCGCAGAACCTGGAGGTCCACATGCGCATCCACACGGGCGAGAGGCCGTTCAGCTGTGAGCAGTGCGGCAAGAAGTTCACCCAGTCGGCTCACCTGAAGTCGCACCTGAGCGTTCACACGGGCGAGCGGCCGTACGCGTGCAGGCTCTGCTCCCGGAGCTTCATCGTCAAATATAGCCTCAAGTTGCACATGAAGAAGTGTCACCCAAACGTCCCGAGCGACCCCTAAATGCTGGTTTTTACGAACATTTAAAAAACATTTATTTTGTGCTCGAGCTGCATCCATCAGCTAATATGACTATTTTTATAACTTAAATTATTACTTAAATTTATCATCTTTTATTCTTTCACTCTAACATCTCAAAACATAAGAGATCAAATCTGTCCATAGTTTATCTAACGTGCTTCACGTGTCTGTGTCACTCTGTGATTGGCCCACATGTAGTTCAGCCACTGAATCTGATGCATCTTATCTCTAAAAACTGCCTGTAAAAACCAGTTAAGATATTTTTTTTATATCAGCCCTGTTGTCTTTATTTCGGGTGACGTCTCTTGTGCATAAGAAAAAGCCTGGCAGTCGCTACAGACATGAATTGGCCGTGATGGTACTGGGACTGTATATAAAAGATGGACATGGACACTGTGCCATCACTACAGGCTCCGCTTTTTGAAACTAGAAGTGACCATATTTAGATTATAGGGTAGCGTGCAAAGTTATCAGCTAATGCAGAAGTGCCTTAACCTGCATTTTTAAGGTGCCACCAGGGGGCGGTAGCTGCCTGGTCCTGTAGACGTCTGTGTGGAAACGGCCCTGTGACCAGACCTCTGTAAAGACATCCCTAATGACTTATAGGCCCAGTCGCTCATTTTCAATAAACCCTAGTTAGTTTTCTAAATTTGGATCATTCTAAAAATTATCCAGGACACGAGTCTGCTAGACGACTCTATGAACAGGTGAAGTCACGTCAGCTACATCCATCTTGTAACACTGTCCTCGTCCTTAACTTAAAGCCTTAACAGATTTGAAATATTTCACCCCCCC